CAGCCTGATCTCAAAACTCAAATTAAAGTAGTCATTGAACCAACTGAAGACGTCACAAATGTGATTGTTAGCAAAAAGGCTGAAAATGATAAATTCAAGGTGAAGTTTACACCAAAAGTGCCGGGCGCTTATAACATTGAAGTGAAGATCAACAACGATAAACTTCCGAACTGCCCTTTTACTACGCAAGTAAAAGAACGTGAACTTGCTGTAGTCGGTGAGTTGAACTTGAAGATATTTCAAGGAGATGAGCTTCACGATCTACGTGGAATTGCTGTAAATACGACAGGGAACATTGCTTTAGCAGATTACAAAGGTTGCTGTGTTTGCATATTCGATAAAAAAGGCAACTGTGTAAGAAAAATTGGTAGCAAAGGACAAAATGCTAGACAATTTAACCACCCATACGGCGTTACATATTTAAATGATAACGAGATTCTGGTTGCAGATCAATGGAATCATAGAATACAACAAGTAGATGTCCAGACAGGAACTGCTGTAAAAAGCTTTGGAAAAAATGGCGCAGCAAAAGGAGAGTTTTCCAACCCGGCTTATGTTTGCCTGGATGAACAACACCGCATTGCTGTAACAGAGATCGGCAATAATAGGATACAGGTCATGACACAAGAGGGTGAGACTATTACCATGTTTGGAGACAGCGGCCAGAAAAACTCAATCGTCCAAGATGCTGCATTCCTTACAAAAACATGTTTCTTGTAGCTGATGGAGGCAATAACTCTATTACAGTTTTTGATCGGTCAGGAACTTTCTTGTACAAGTTTGGAAAACTAGGAAATCAAGACGGACAATTTGACTGCCCGCGTAGTATACTTGTAGACAGCTGCAATAATCTTCTGGTATGTGATTGTGACAATAACCGAGTTCAGCAGTTTTCTTTAGACGGTCGCTTCACAGGCAAAACTATCACTCATTTACCATATCCTGTTGGAATAGCAACAGCGCCAGATGGACGTATTCTCGTGACTAGCCCTGTAGATAAGAAAGTCTACATATTGAAGTAGATGATTTATTTGTTAGTACTTGTAGTTTGTAACCAACCGCTCTCTCTGATATCAATAGCACAACTGGCTGATGCATCTCTTAGTAACTCCATTCAAATATCTCAATTTTCATTCATATCCGTAACTTTTCGTTGATTTTCGGGGCGGTATGAACTTTCAGTCATCCAGTCTGGTGGAAATTAAACTTTTCCTATTCCTGATCTTGTCTCTCAGATTCACCGAAAACACCAACAGGACTTCTCTTGTTTTAACGGTTTGAGATTTAAATTAGGATTTTTCGCTTTCATGCGTTTCCTCAAATTAAAATATTAACGTTGCTATTTCAATGAAACCAGGCAGGCAAAACATTGTATGAGGACAGATTATGTACATCTGCTTTCTCTAAGCTACAGGAAGTGTAATAATTTGAGTGAAAATAGAATCAGAAATATTGTACATACATACATACATACATAAACTTTATTTAAGCTCGAATTTCAGAGTAGCTTGACCAGCTAATAATATTTAGCAATTCATTACAGATGACCAAATGTTAATTTTGATATATGATTGCTCGGCAAAATGCCTTTCCTAAGTATTCATTTAAACATGTAATTAGTACGGTATACGAAACAAGCTTTCCAGAAGGGAGGGAGGGAGGGGCTTTCAAACTGTTGAAGCATCCCGTTCCTTCGGTTACCAGCGACGTATTAAACAAGTTACTGGCGAGTGCCAGTAGTGCTACTAGTTTTGAAATCTTTTTGAAGTCGTAGATGGATAATTGAATTTAAATCAATTGATCGATCGATCGAGTGATTGATTGATTGATTGATTGTTGATTGATTCAGTTTCCAACAACTTATTAAACAAGTTACTGCCAAGTGCCAGTAATGCTGCTAGTTTTTTTATATCTTTCCACATCGTAGACGGATAATTGAACTTAAATCGTTCAGTTATCGTTAGTTTGATTTTGTAGCTATTTAGCTTTTGTTGTAATTTTTGATTTATTATTGTAGCGCTTTCCTTGGTTTTGTCTTAGCTTTTCTCTTTTTGAAACAAGCTTTTTATAAGTAATAAAACACTTTTAAACAATTTACTGTTGAATATTATATATTATTATAAATAATTTTTCAGTTCATTGATCTAATTGTATCTAATGAGACGATTTGATTTAATTGTAATAGCCTTTTTTTCCATTTACTCCTATTTACATGCTATAATGTTCTTGATTGAATGATTGATTGACTGACTGACTGACTGACTGCCTGACTGATTGATTAAGTTATTGATTGATTAATTGATTGATTGGTTGATTGATTGATTGATTGATTGGTTGGTTGATCGATTGGTTGATTAATTGGTTGGTTGGTTGGTTGATTGGTTGATTGGTTGATTGGTTGATT